GTAGTTTCCTCATTTTTTTAAAAAAAGCCACAGGACTGAAGGTTGTCTAATTGTGGGGTGGAATAGCTATATAAGAGCAAAAGAAACCATAGCTATTCATGACTGCTCAGAAATAGAGCTGGATCTATTTTGCCAGCAGCAGAGCGAGAAATGTTGGGGTTTTGAACTGTAGATCCCAGAATCCTACATTCAGTATGGCATCTGGCTACCATGGTACATGCTTCACAAGGCCCCACAACTCATCATGGATTGCCAGAAAGGATCTCTCTGTGATGGATGTGCTTGTGAGCCCACATTTGTTGCATTCACACATCCAACTTTAAAATGTGTATTTTAAAAAAAAAATTAGATGTATACATTTTAGAAAACACATTTTAACACAAATCCCACATTTTAAACATCACAATTTAAAGCCAAGCCTTAGCATCAAAAACAGGTGCTTGCGTTGAATCCTGGCTTATATAAACCTCACCAAATATCCCTCTGTAAAAGCTATTAAGTCCTTTATGCCATAGGTCCCCAACCTTAGAGCTTCCAGATGTTCTTGGACTACAACTCCCAGAAGCCTTCACCACCACCTCTGCTGGCCAGGATTTCTGGGAGTTGAAGTCCAAGAACCTCTGGAGGCCCAAGGTTGGAGACCACTGCTTTATGCTCCTTCTAAAGATCCCAAGTCAGAACACCCAAGAATCTTGGCTGCTAGTTCCTTCTGAATCAACCCATGAAGTCTAGTTCCTCTCCAACAGAATCCAGGAATCCCTAATTGTTTAATATCACATTCCCCCATCCAAATTAAGGCCCCTTCTAGCCCTATGAAACCAGGAATCTAATGTCATTGTTTAGTCAAAACATGCTAGAATTGAGAGAGATAAGCAACCTTTTAAATAATAATATGTAGAATGTAACCAACAAGATTGACTCTGTTAGTTAGGACTGTTTAAGAATTGAAGTCTGATGACATTTAGCAAGATGCATATTCTCCATCTCCGCTACATGGTACTTTAAACTTTTTTGTCCCCCTCACCCCCAAAATAATTCTCTTCTACTTTTTGTTCCAGTAGCAAGCTATTGAATGCACATTCTTTCAAAAGAAAGAATATAGAAGTTCCTTTCTTGTGAAGACTGCCCCAAATCAGTGGAAGTTCCACAACACTGTTAATCAGCAGCCAGTGACGGAGTAGACAGGGCCAGGATGATGTAATAGATAGGCAGTACTTTGTCAAAGGTCCAAAACACAGCTCTTCAAAACAACTTGCAAAACCAGCAGAATTATAAGCTAGCGCACATAAAGTAAGATATGAACGCTTCATAAGAACTCACAAAGTGAGGAACTGGGGTAGATCCCGTACAGTTCAATTGCATACACATACAGTACACTCAAAAGCAAGCCCCAACTGAATCTGATGGGAACCAGTCCAGAAAATGTGCCTCAAGGTTCAGCTTTGCAACACAATCCTATTCATATTTTAGTCCTCAGTGTCTGGATACTGATTTAGTTGTTTCCAACCCAGGCTGGCACAGGCAGACTCCCCCACCCTCCTCCCCATGACTAGGCAGCCTCTCCCAAATGCAACTTTAATCTTTCTGTACCCTCAGAGTACATAAAGAGTCTGCACATCTTGAACAATGCTCTGTTAACAAGGAGTGATTGCTATCTTTTTTGTTTTTCTATGGGCTTGGTCTGGTTTTGAGTGCACACAAGTGGCTTTAGAAGTGGGTTTTTCTGTTCTGGCTTCCAAGGGCAGAAAACTTTGGAGGGTTCTGCTGTGTGGCATTGTCTGTGATTTGGGGAAAAGCCCCCCCAGCCCCGAAAATCAGGTACAATATAGGCATCATTGGTGAGTGAAGCTCGATTCATGAAAGTAACTGTGATTCGTGAAGATAATCTTTCTTTTTAAGGTGAATCAGGTTTAGCTGCCCGGGCCCTGTATGGCAGCCATTCTCTCTTTTTTAAGCTAAATGCAAATTACTTTTAACAAATCTTAAAGCATATATTTGGGATCTAACCTGCTTCAGTGGGATCGTTTTCATAGTAAGGGCCTTTGAGTTTCTTGTTAACTGCCACGTGTGAGTGTTGCAAAGGAGGCAACAGTCTGTAGAACAGATTTTAATTTTACCTGAGGCTAATTCAAAAGGTCATCTTTAAGTTTCCTGAGTGAAAATAACCGCAAGATATCTGGATTTAACTTAGACGTAGAAGCAGAATAAGAAAAGGGGCTGCCATATATTTAGAGCAGATTGTAAGAGATGCAGGCGGGAAAATCCACATCACCCCCTTAGGTCCCTCTCTCTGTTTTCCCCACTACAAAGGGTGCATCTACTGTACATTTCAAGACTCGAGACGTTCCTCTTCTTAATTTTTGATTTCTAGCATAACATTCTCCCTACTATATTCTTTTCGTGGGTGGCGTAGGGTGGGGAGACCTACTCTTTGCTATTTGTAACAGCTACTATTTTAGAAGCCCGTTCAACCGCTGAATAAGGAGAAAGGGGCTTCAGGAGTCGTGACTCGTGGATCTGTTTATGAGGCTTCTCTCTTCGCCCCTTCCCGCCCCCAATAATCCGAGCACGGGCTGAAGAGTGGAAATGAAGGTTCTTCTGCTCAGACAGACAGACAGATCACGCACTCCTCAAACAGGAGGGTGGCTAAGAAAAGAGAAACCCAGTTTACGAAAGCTTGGCAGCGATCCGTATCAGAGAAGCAAGAGCGCGGGGTTCACTTGGAGGGAAAAGGAAGATGATGATCCTGGAGGGACCCCGATTGAAAATACGAAGCGATGGGAAACAAAGGGAGGGGGCGGCCAGAGGAGAAGGAAAGACTGGCAATTGGGGAGGGGGGAGGGATGGGTTTGCGGCGTCTCCCCGACACCCACGGCCGCTGCAAAACGCTTGATGCGTCAGTCTGATGCTTTTCTCTCCCCTCCCCAATAATCCTCTTCAGCGCCCCCAGATCCTTGGCTGCTTCTCGTCATTCCAATTGAAGCGATCTCGCCTCCCTCTCCAGAAAACCCAAGAATCCTGTGGGATCCTAAGGTCCACGCTCTGAAAACCGCTAGCTCTACCTTCTTAACCTCTCTTTCATGGACCCACGAGTTCTGCCACCCCCACCCCCCATTTCACACCCCCGATGGGTACCTGGAACCACTGGCGGGCGATCGGAGACGACGCCGGTCTTTCTCCTCTCTCTGGCTCTTCTTCTTCTTCTTCTCTCTTGAACTTTCCTCGGCTGTCTTCACCCCCAACCTTCACCCCCCCTCTCCCAAACCCGTTCAGTTCATCCACATCGCGCCACGCTCACCCACCCAGCCCTGCCCTTGGCATCTGGCCACGGGGGTGGGGCCACCGAGCGCGTGGCTGGCCCGGTGCCCCAAAGAACAGAATTGGGGAAATGGGTGGGTCCCGTGGGAAAGGGAGGCCCCGCGCCTTGCACACACGAGGGCGCCCCTCCTCCTCCTCCTCCTCCTCCTCCCGTGTTCCGCCGTGCCTCTGGTTTGCCACTTTCCTCTCCTGGCACTGGGGTTCGTCCGCGCCTCAGCGGGAGGCACAGAAACATTTATTACTCAGTCTTTCACCCACCCACCCCCTCACTTCATGGGTACTGCCAGCCTGCCAATGAAGAAAAAAGAAAACAAACTTCACCAGTTGAATCCCTGCCTCCTCAACCAAAGCTGCCAGAAAGGAGCGGGAAAGGGAGCAAGAAGTTCTCTAGCATTTTCATGTTGTTTTACCCACACAGCAGACAGGGATTCCCTCCTCCAAAACACGCAGCTGCTGGGGCTCATTTCGGAAGCCAAGGGCACCAACAGCTGAATAAGGGGGGGTGGGAGAGACGTATAATAAACAGAGTGATGGACTAGCATTCAGGAGACCTGGTTCACCCATGGAAACTTGTTGGGGATGGGCCCTGGTAAAACATTCCTTGGTGCGATCGGATGGCGGGAAAGGCGCGCGTCGGACGGCACCGGAAAGAGTCGCCATCTCCCTTAAAGCAATTATTCTGTCAGTGAATCAATCGCCAGCTGATCTCCAGACCGGGCTAAGAGAGAATCCTGCCTGGAACCTGCCAGTTAGAGCAGACAGTGCTGGACTAGAAGGCCTTACTCAGAACCGAGGCACTTTTCCTTTATGACTACTTGTTGACTCCAGATATAGAGGGAGGTGCAACTGGTCTGGGGGATGCACACTGGGGGCCTCCCGGAAAGTCCCCAGAGAACTTGGTTGAATCCTCCTGAATAGGACAAGTAGGGACCAATGGAGATAGGAATTGCAATAATGAAGCGGTGGCACCTTCTGTGAATGAAGCTGCAGGATGCCCTCTGGGAGTATTCACACCTGACTCACTCCATTGAGCAAAAAGGTAAAGGTAAAGGTTCCCCTTGACAATTTGTCCGGTCGTGTTCGACTCTAGGGGGCGGTGCTCATCCCTGTTTCCAAGCCATAGAGCCAGCGTTTTGTACGAAGACAATCTTCCGTGATCACATGGCCAGTGCGACTTAGACACAGAATGCTGTTACCTTCCCACCGAAGTGGTCCCTATTTATCTACTTGCATTTGCATGCTTTCGAACCACTAGGTTGGCGGGAGCTGGGACAAGCAATGGGCACTCACTCCGTCGCGTGGATTCGATCTTACGACTGCTGGTCTTCTGACCCTGCAGCACAGGCTTCTGCGGTTTAGCCCGCAGTGACACCATGTCCCATTGTGCAAAACCTTCATCTATTTAGTATGTACCTTTAGTCCCTCTGGTTAGCATTTTTAAGGTGCCAGAGAGGCTGGCAAGAAGGAGGAGACAGGGAGGTCTGTTCCTGCCAGGCTAGGTGCTTGTGCCTAAATCTGGATTCAACGTTTATTTTTAGTTATGTTTCTTTTCACATATAGAGTGTCCTGTGGCACTATAAAGGCCAGCAGTGTTATTGTGGCATACACTGTGAAGTACTGCAGCCCATCTCAGTTGGCAAACACATCCACAAATAATAATAATTTTAAAACACTCACTGTGTGCTAGGTGGGAGGGAGTAAACCACAGATCTAAAAGTGAAACAGCACAATTTAGCATTTGAAATGCACACTAAATGAGCAAGAGAACTATTTAAAAAATTAACAATTGGTGCTAGAATCATCCTTATTGTTTTACTGCAATAGTCAGACACCTGTGTTGAGAGAGAAAACATGGCCATGATACACCAGAACCAGATGAGAGTTCTAAAGATACTTTTACTGTCACATGTGAAAAATCCTCTTGAGACTTCAGATTTTTGTGGGCATTTAATTGGATAGCATTATTTCATAGCAAAAAGAAACCAGAGAACAAATCCCCACCTCATGTGTGAAGCAAAGAGAGGGACTGGAAATTAGATGTTCTTAAAATGTTTTGGACTATTTCTGCCATAATTACATGAGCCCTATAGGTTTTGGCCTATAACGGTTGCAGTCTAAAAAATCTGGAGAGACACAAAGAGAAAGCCCCATTGAATTAGTAGCACCTAATTCTGAATAAATATTTCTGTTTTTTTTTCTGCTGTGCCTTAAACTTTACAGAGGCAGCGCAGAACAAAATGCAGAAGTCTAAGAAACATTTTCAGGTTCAATGGTTGTAGGTTTTTTGGGCTGCATGGTCGTGTTCTTGAGGTTTTTCTTCCTAACGTTTTGCCAGTCTCTATGGCTGGCATCTTCAGAGGACAGGAGTTAGAACTCTGTGAAAGCAAGAATATATTTTCAGGTTCACTCATCACACATTGATTACTTGTTCATACCCATTTTTAACATCCTTGTCATATTCATTCTCAGAATGGATTTTATCTATTCTTCTAGCTGATGCTTGAAGCTGGTGTTAAAAATATAACATTTTGTTTGTTTTTCTGTTTGTTTATTTATTTATTTGATTTCTACTGTATCTATAGAAGAATACTTGGGGTGACATATAAAATTTTAAAAATGTGATTTATTAAGGCAGCTTGAATCACCTCAGACAAATGAATGACATTTTTTTAAAAAATTGCACCATTCTTCCTGCTGAGCACTCAGTCTGTGATGAACAAACTAGTGCCTGATAACTATCCTAGAATAATTAAATATGGAATATAAGAGTCTAATCATTCTCTCTTTCTGAGGTTGAGTGGGATGAGAGATGTGGGGAATGAAATAACTGGCAAGAGAGCAAACAGAATAGGGAGTGGCTGAATTAACTATGTTTTTAATGGAAGTATTTATTTATCTAGAAATAAAGACAACCTCAAGTACATAATGAGAAATCACAGCTTGAGTTTAAAAATAGTTCCAGACAGATTCCACCTAGCTGTCTTGTTTAAACAGGCAAAAAGAATAAGGTGGCAGAATCCTGTGGTTATACACTGAATGGTACCACTTCAGACTGTAACCTGAAAGCACTATGTTTTAACGCTTTCCCATAACAACCAAACATCTTCCTGCAAGTAAAGCACTAGGTACAGCAGTGAGAAAAGTTATATTCCAGTCTACTTCCTGCTACAGTATACTGTTTTTAGCTTTGTGGCACGGTGGTTACACTACAATACTGCAGTGAAGACTCTGATCATGACCTGAAATTGATCCCAGCCAGGCTCAGGTAGCTGATTCAAGGTTGACTCAACTTGGCATCCTTCTGAGGTTGGTAAATTGAATACCCTATGGAGGGGGGCAATGTTTAGCTTACATAATTAAGTTGCAATCCTCCCAGAGAGAACTTTAAGCACTATGGAGCAGTATATAAGTAGCACAAATTGCCTTTATTTGTTGGGCCTTTAAAATATTGAAACAGCAAGCATATATTTGCTGGGCCTTTAAAATATTGAAACAGCAAGCATTCATTACTGCAGATTTCTGCTGAACTAGAAATGAGGAGTCTGGAAGTTGAGTCATGGCAACTGGACTTCTTTCTTATTAGGTTGAAATATTTTGCTGCTCATCTCTCCTCAGAGAGGAGACCCCTGATATATCCAGGATATATCCAGGGGTCGCCAGGAGGATATATCAGGGGCCTCCTACCAACTCTCCTCAGACTGAAGAAGCTACTTGGATAAGCAGTGAGACATTTCAGTCTAATAAGAAAGAAGTCCAGTTGCCATGACTCCACTTCCAAATAATCTCACCTGGATGACTGAGAATCTTCAGATATAGAAAAGAGGAAAGGCAGCAAAAGGTCAGTAGATAAGATATGTGACTCTGTATTTAATGATATCTATCAGTGACATGTGCAGTCTGCTTCTCATATTTCAATCGTACAACCCTTTAAGACTAAAGTTGCAGGAGCTGTATGTGTAAGAATCCTGTATTTTAAAAGTCAAGGAGTTTAGTAAAGTAATAAAAGAGTACATACTTTAGAACCATAGGATTGTGCACTGCAGATCTGTATTTTTACTTTTCAAATAGAAGGTCTCAAGTCACCACAGCAATCTGTGTATTAACTCAAAGCTTAACCTATAAGGTAAAGGTAGCCAGATGTATGCACAATATGAGGCTTCCTTCCTTTGTTAGGCTGACACAGGAGGGTGAACAGTCACAGTTACAAAGAATCTTGCTTATAAAGCTACAGCTGGAATGGTTACATTGCCTGCTTTCTCCCAAAGCTGACATATTTTTCTGCTTCCTCCTTTATAACTGTGAGGCATTACAGTATTTTACACAGCAGCCAGAATCTTATTGGTTAGTTATGTTGGCATAAGTCACAACAGCAAATTGCCGTTAGTTAATGAGTTGCCTCTTGCATCCATTGTTGTCCATCAAATCACACATCTGGTGCATGAGATACAAGCAGCAGTTTATTAACTACCAGCAATTTGTCATGCAGTTTACACTATTGCACTTATATCAGTGCAGCCAACCAACAGGATTCCGGCCAACATCACTTTCTTCTTCTATAAGGGCTAGCATATAATGGCAGAAAACCTGTTGCACTAGAGTTCTGAGAACATGACTCGCTAAATTCCCATTGAAGTAATGTAATGGGTCTACTTTATTTGTGACTTACTACACTAAGAAACAGGGTTCCAGGCAATTTCTAAGAATAGAATTCAGCTTACCCTCAGGAGCGTTAACACAGAGTCTGTTACCTATGAGTTTATGTCCTGGCTTTTACTAAAGTTGCAAGACAGCTTGCCACATTGATACACAATTTTTTTTTTAAAAAAAGTCCAGTATTGTGTACAAAAGTAAGAGAAAAGCGGTGGGAAGTGGGTGCGTGTAGTATTTTACCCTTGAAGCAAATACATTTAAGTTTCTGCTGTCTTACACAAAACGTCTCCTCAAACAATGCTGAGGGTTGGTGCAAATTTCCCCCTTCTCCACAGCGTTTTTCTGCTCATTCACACCCTCTTTGCTTTCTGTTTTGCAGCTCCCCCCCCTCCTTTGCTCTCCCGCCCTTTCTGGCTTCCTCTCCGAAAACCGTCTCCACGGCAACAAGGAGCGGACGAGGGACAAACTGAGAGAGAGGGGATGTGGTTTTGCATGCGGGTTTAGTGATGGAACGTTGCCATGGCAACCCTCTCGCGTCGTCATTTCTCTCCCCTCCCCTCCCCTCCCCTCCTAGCTCTGCGTATGACTACGGTGAACTCTGGGAACATGTGCGCGCGCGCGGGGGGGGGAAAGAGGAGTACGAATGGCTTGAGGAAGGTCAGGAACGAAAGGAAGGAAGGAACTGTTAGGTTCGCACATGCGCAGTGGGCGTGCAGGCCTGTGAGGTAAGGGGAAGGGCTTATTGGAAGGGGTGGGGCTTAGGGGCTGATAGGATCCTCGGCATGGCCTTAATAGTCCTGGAGGGTGGGGCGCACAGGAGTTTTTGGGGGGCTGTGGTGGTGAACTGAGAGGAGCTACGGCCATTCCTCCCATTTACAAGACTTTGCAAGCCTTCAGGGTGGCCTTTGAAGGACCTCGGAGGTTGACATGTTGAAAGGACTTTGGCAGGAGTTATGAGGCCTCAGTGTGACTATGCCCGATAACAATATGGCTGTATGGGGCTTTAATATGACCTGCCAGGACTTTGTAGGGTGGTGGAATCAGCTTTGCTGGTAAGGCCTTTAAATGAGGTTTAAAGAATCACCTGCCTATGTAGAGCTTTTGGTGAGGTTAGGGCTTCAGAAATGATGAGAGCAAAACACACAGACACCCCATATTGGTCATGATACATACTATGAAAGCCCTGCATACTGTTAAGGTTTGTCTCAAATTATGGGGTTTTAATATGGCCTTTTAGGATGTTAGCATGAAATAGTGTGACTTCAACTTGATTGGTGTTTGGAGTTTCCTGCTGTGGATCTTGGCATGTGACATATGAGAGGAAGGACGTGTGGATAGATGAGCATCCAGTTGGTGCCCATTTGTGCCTTCTAGCTAGGGTAGCCGGTGTGATGTAGTGAAAAGAGAGATAGAGTAGGATTTAGGAGGCCTGGGTTTGATTTGCCGCACAACCATGGAAACTCACTAGGGGAGTAGAACTGGCTAAATGACTCCTTAGATATTTCACTTCCCTTGCCTTGAACCTATTTGGGTTGCTATAAGTTGGTTCTGACTTGACAGCACATACCAACAGCTAAGGTTGCTGTCTTTTGTTTTCTTGGCCTTGTGGCTGGTACACAGAAAAAAGCAGATGACATACTTCCTGATAAGAGGAGACAGAAAAATGCCAAATGTATACTTTGTCAGGTTGCTGTTGAAAGGACAAAAACATAGCCCATGAAATAGGTCAGTAAATAAATAAATAATAAATTTAACCCTGAAGCAATATCCTGAAAACAGGAGCAAATGTGGTTCATAGATGTTAAGAGTCTGCATGAGATGAACAGCACTGGGATTGGTAACATGTTTTATAAATGAGCACCATACATGGCACAGTGGAAGATTTGTACTAGCCAAAGAAGAGAGGTTAGTTGTTGATAAGGTGTCCGGAAAAGACTTGGTTGAATATCTCACAGAACACAGCATAAGGGCAGAAGAAATTAGATAGCTGTTGGTGTTACCCTAAGACAAGCAAAAACAAAAGGATTTGAGGTTTAGAAATTGCTACAGTTTCTGTCCAAGCAACATCTGCCTAGAAGATACTATGTGATAAGGCCACTTATTTATTTATTTATTTATTTATTTATGCATGCATGCCCCGCTCATCTAGATCAAAGTCTACTCTGGGTGGCTAACAATAAAAATGGAATAAAAACAATATAAAGTAAAAAAACAACAATAGTAATGTGGCAAAAGATGGGGAAAAGAAAAAAAAATTGAGTGATGACAGAAGGGAAAACCTGCCTAAAGAGCCAGGTCTTAAGTTTGCTCTTAGAAACACCCAGCGTGGGTGCCAGACAGATCTCTGGGGGCAGACTGTTCCAAAGTCGAGGGACCACTGCCGAGAAGCACCAGTTTCTTTTTCTTTCTCTCCGGGCCTCCCTTGGCATTAGGTCCCTCAGCCGCCCTTCCTGGCTAGAACGAGTGATTCAGGTAGATCTAGGTGGGAGGAGGCGTTCCACTAGAAATCAAGGCCCTAAACCGTTTAGGACTTTAAATGTCATCATTAACACTTTGAAATCAATGCGGAAACAAACGGGCAGCCAATGCAAGGCAGCCAGAGTGGGGGAGATATGCTGATTTTTTCTTGTCCCACTGAGAAGTCTGGCCGCTGCATTCTGCACCATTTGAAGCTTCCGCATCAGTCTCAAAGGTAGCCTCACGGAGAGCGCAATACAGTAGTCTAATCTAGAGACTACAAGCACATTGACCAGAGTGGTGAGTGCCCCAACATCAAGATAGGGACGCAGCTGGGCAATCTGCCACAGATGGAAATAAGCAGAGTGGACCACTGACACCACCTGGGTTTCCATGGTGAGTGCCGGATCCAGATGGACCCCCAAGCTGTGTACCTCACTCTTCATGGTGAGAGTCACTCCCCCAAAAGAGGAGTTTCCCAAACCACCAATGGAGGGGCCAGCCACCCTCAGGACCTCCGTCTTGTCCGGGTTCAGCCTCAGTCCATTCTCCTGCATCCATTGCAGTACAGCCTCCAGACAGTGCTGAAGGGACAGAACGGCATCTACTGTGGTTGGAGAAAAGGAGATGTAGAGCTGGATGTCATCAGCGTACTGATGGCACGAAGCCCCACACCCCCTGGTGACCCCACCCAGTGGCCTTATTTAGATATTAGACAGCATTGAGGAGATAATCGAGCCCTGTGGAACCCCACAATTGAGGCTGCATGGGGCTGAAACACGCTCCCCAAGCTGTACTGTCTGAGGATGGTCCTCCAAGAAGGATCAGAGCCAGGCAAGTGCAAGGCCACTGATTCCCAGCTCAGAGAGCCTCCCCAGGAGGATACTGTGGTCAACGGTATCGAAGACGGCTGAGATACTGAGGAGGACCAACAAAGACCTTTTGCCTCTGTCAGCCTCCCTCAGCAGGTCATCAGACAGGGCGACCAATGCCGTTTCTGTACCGTGGCGCAGCCTGAAGGAGAGAGCTCCTGGCAGATGGCCTCCACTTCAGATTTTAAAAATGCTGCAAATTGGTCAGGTGAAATACTAGTAGGAGGCCCATCACTTAGACCAATTCTGGACAGATCGTGAATTATACGGAAAAGTTCCGCCTGCTGATTTGAAGCTTCGCTTATCCTGACAGCGAAGTGAGCTCAACTAGCAGCCCTCACCTTAGTAAGGTAGTGGTCAATCATGATCCTGACAGCTATCTGATAATAATCCATTGGGTTCCATCTCCAAATGCACTCTAGCCTTCTCCTGTTTTGCTTCATAGCTCTCAGCTCCTGGTTAAACCAGAGTGCTGGCCGAGTTTTGCAACAGGGAGGACATTTAGGAACGATCATGTCAACAGCCCTGGTGGCAGCAGCAAGCCAGCCATTGACTAGAGCCCTGACAGGAGCACCAGTCAGATCAACTGAAATCCCTCTCATGGAATCCTGGAATCCTATAGGATCCAGTAGCTTTCGAGGGCGGACTATTAAAATAGGTCTTTGCTCCCTGCGGGGAGGGAGAGCCACTGAGAGGTTACATTTTATTAGGTGGTGATCCGACCATGACAAGGGAACTGACATACTTCATTATAATACTGTACTGTGTTCTAACAAAAACTTGATATAGCCTTAATGTCTTAGGGTTGTATGTGACAAGATGGAAAATAAAAGAAATATTGGTGTTTATGTGCAGGGTTTGGGAATGATTGCAGATAGAAGATGGAGTAGGACATGGAGAAATTAATCATGTTAGTATTTCGTATTCGCTAACCTTCATGATTAATACAGCACAATCTCCTGTTTTGAATCAGTAAGCCTGCCTGCTGTCATGGCAAATTCTGTAGTCATTTGTCTAGAACTCTTTCTCTAACACTTGCGCTCACATGCACACACACTTCATTCCTCTTTAAGAATTCAGAGGATCTGTCTCCTGTGTTATAATTACTAGATATTGAAATTGATTGTTACCTGCAAATGTTTGTACTAAAATAAATGTGAACACAAAGTTCTAACTCCTGTCCTCTGAAGATGGGTGAAACAGAGACTGGTGAAACGTTAGGAAGGAAAACCTCCAGAACACAGCTAGACAACCCGACAAACCTACAACAACCATCGGAACCCGGCCGTGAAAGCCTTTGAGAATGCATTACATTTGTTATTCTTAAAGGTGTCACAAGACTAAATTTATCTTTTTGGTTTGTTTGATTGCTGTTAAGAATGTTGAACAGACTAGCATGTCCCCCTTTTTTGAATATTAGATACTTATCTCCTCTGAGAACATTTGGAGGGTACAGCTATTCTTTCCTTCCTCTACAGTAACTTATTGTTGAATTCTTGACTTCTGACACTTGTTCATCCAAGTCCTGCCCACTGCTTTAACTAGATGTTATGATCTAAGAGAACCCAGGAGTTCTCGTACTGACTCTTTGATCTGTTATGTGTAACTTGTTCTCCCTTCCCTCCCTCCTTCATCAGGATTGGTGGAGAGTTGATGCCTTTCTTGGAGATGGTTGCTAACAACTGAGTTGACAAAGACAACGGGTGATGCATGCAGGAGAAACCAGGAAGCCTGCACTGAAGCGCTGTAAAAACAAACTGCCTGAACACTAATTCTATATCTGTCATAAAGTTTCTCCAGGAAAGAGCAAGGTACTTGTAGTTATTGCTTTGAGAGGACAATTAATTTGGGTTACAGATGCTGGGAAACCTTAAAGTCACTTTAAAAAGAGAGGAAAAGCTGTGTGGTTCTGTACACAATCAGGAAACAAGGGTGGGCAGCGATTAAGTCCCTTTAATAGACCATAATAAATAGTCTTGACAGAGTTTTAACAATGTTTCAAATAAGGTTGCATAAGAATCATTTAGATAGTGGGTAGCAACAGTAAGTTTGGTGCAAGCCTTGGAAGGAGTTTGGATTTAGAGAGAATACTGTAATAATGAATGTATGGTGATCTGATATAGGAGGAAAGAAATAGATGCACATTTAGCAGTTAAAACCAGTTCCTATGGATTACTGCATAGGTTTGGATAAAATGCTATCTTTTAGCTAAATTTCATTCAGAGTCTTAAAGGAATGATAAAAGTCTTAAAGGAATAACGTTTTGAAAACTGTGTTTGCTGAACATGAACATTCTTTTCAGGTTTGGTGGGGGACTATACAGATTCCCACTGTGGTGTGTAGTGGATACAGTGATGGACTAGGATTCTGGAGAATAGGGTTTGAATCCCCACTGGCCACAGAAACTCACTGGGGTAATGCAACTGGTAAAACTACCCTCTAAATATTTCAGCTTAAAAGCCTTATTAGGGTCTCTAAAAGTTGGTCCTGATTTGACAGCACAGAATATATACAGGGGGACTGAGTGATTAGAATACTGATTTTTTTTTTTTTAAAAAAAGAAAGAATAATCTTTGAAATTCAGTCAGGTGGTCTTATGGGTCATCCATGCAATAACAATGAAAGTATTAAAAGAAAATACTGGAAATGCTATATGCAAACTACTTTTCAGTTTACAGTTTTTAGTTTGAAATATGAAATGAAAGGTGGTTGGTCCCTGTGGCCATTTAGGCAGCTATGGCAAAGAAACTGTCAGCTACTATGTAGTTCTCCAGTTTATTAAAATGCCTGTGAGGAAAAGGAGCACATTATTAACTTTGGGTAGATTATGTTTTGCTGAGATGGGATTCGTCATTTAAGCTGGCACTTTTCATGGCTGGTTATTATGTGACAGCAAGTTGCAGACATGATGGCCATAATATGTGATTGCTTTTCAAGCATGCAGATCATTCACAGTGCATGGAGAGTCTGGCTTGATTACTATACTCAACAACAATTATAGCTAGGCAAGCAAGGGCTTGTCTATATTGGTTATTTTGGAGCAGGCTGATGTAGACTAAATAGGGTCGCTTTGGGTTGGGTTGGTGCAGTACATCTAAATGACATATCGGAGATCAAGAGACCCTATTTGGTCTGGCTTCTTTCACTGGGAATTTCTGATGTTGTGAAGTGGCTTAATAAGAGATCCACTTTGAGATACTGGCAAATTACCACTTCCTTTTCTCCTTGGCAGAGGGGCAGAGGTAGTGAATTTTTAAAATACTTTATTAATAATAATTGTGTCATCAACTCAGTTGTGAGGACAGTGCATTTTTGCTGTCCCTATATAGTTTTTAAAAAGAGAGAGTTCACTTCCTCTTGCACCCTGCCCAAGGATCAGAGGAAGTGTTTAATTTGCCAATATCACAAAGTGGCCTTCTTATTAAGCCACTTCACGATATCAGAAATTCCCACCTGAAGAAGCCTTAACAGCTAGAAGGCTTGCTTTTGGTTTGTTTTTAGTGTTCCCCCACACTGGAAATGAACCAAACCAGAGTGATCCTGCCTGCATTTAAAAAAAGTAGAAGTCCCTAACAGAGCCTCATAAAGGTTTGTGTAGGATTGCTCTTGGGATGATTTGATACACTCCAGTGATTATGTTGTCTGATCCCTGGAAAAAGGAGTGAACCAGCTCATTCCCACAGCATACCAAACTGCGAGTTAAATGCCTGCCTGATCACATTCTAAGTCTGTGGAAGTTTCTATTCCATAGTATTCTGTCACCAACTATCCCAAACCCATTTTAATTATTTGATGCAAGTGTGAATATTTATTTATTTATTTATTTATTGGACTTATATACGCCCCATAGCGCTACAAGCACTCTCCGGGCGGTTTACAATTTTTTAATTATACAGGCTACAAAAGAAGTGCAATATTCAACTTTTGTAAAACTTCCCCTTCCTGGTCACCTGCAGGCAGTGTTAAGCTACTGTCAGCGAGCAGAGAAATTGTCTGTTGCTTATGGCTGATTTTTATAAGGTTCTTAAACATTATGGCAATCTTGAGACTGTAAAGCAGAAGAAAATGCAGTATTTAATAATTGTATAAAGGAGTATGCTATACAGCAGAGCATATGAATTGCTGAGTTACAGCAAGGATTAAAAGCATGCATCTTGTGAGAATTTGAGAGACTGAATGTGCACCTTTTGGGAAAAAAATTGTGATGAGGCAGGGTGTAGTGGTAGAGGATTATGGCATTTGATCGGTATCCCCAAACCCTTGAAAGGTCACTGGCTTTGGAAAGAGTGACCTAATCTTGCATTATCCACATGTCCCTGGACGCTTACAGGCTTATTTATTTATTTATTTATTTATATTTATTTAAAATATTTTTACCCCACCTTGTGATGGCCTGTAATTGATATCTAGCATCTCATTTTCAGAGACTGAATATCTGAAGGATCACATGTTTTCCATCCCTGCCATTAGGGGTGAATGGGAGAGAAATTTTGTGTTGTCATTTAATAGTTGTGTTTTAAAATTGTCTTATTTATTTGCATTTTTCATCTTCTGTTTCTTCAGGGAGTGTGGGGCATAACAATAGAGAGGTTGGTACATGGATTTCTTCCCCTGTCCATTGTCCTGTTATACTTATTTATCTATTACATTTTTATGATGCCTTTCTCTTGACAGTCAACTCAAGGAGGCTCCTTTACAACAACCCTGTGTGATAGGTTAAATTACAAGATGGTTATTGGCTTGATGTTACACTGGGAAATGTCATGTTTAGGTTTTTGCCATGGGTCTTTGTAAACATAATCATATTCTCTCCACTTTACTAAATTGACTTTCATGAAGTAGTTATTTTCAGAAAGTGGCAACATGGATTTCTCACCTTTTGTCTTTCTGTTTGTTTTCTCATTCTCTTTCTCAGCAGGGAGAAGTGAAGATGCCATACTTCAAATCTGCCTCCAGTCTCCGTTCTGACAGCACTGATATGGACCTGGAAGGTCTTGGTAATTTCCTAGGGATGAAAGGAGGATGTTACTGTGGAGCCATTTGCAATATCAGGATCTTTACCTAGCAAGAACACTGACTTGGGAGACTTACACTACTAGAACACAGTGATCTCAGTCTCATCTTGTGTAATATTCTTCTGATGAAGCATTCCCAGCCCCGTTTTCTCTGTTCCATTTTGTTCGTATTGAGTACATAAACAAGAGTCCCACCCACCCTGAATTGTACCAAGTTGATCTGGTTTAGTTCTCCAACATGATGTTCTGCAACTGCTTTGGACTAAAATTCCCATTAGTCCCAGACAGCTTAATCAGGGATGATAGAAATTTTGCCCCCAAATCCTTGGGAGGCCACAGGGTTTGGGAAGGTTCACATAATTCTGCATTCTGTTCTAGTCAGTATCCAAATATCGCTAGACACTTTACAGGCTTATGATAAAGATGATGGCCTATATTTGATCTCTAACGTCATGTTCCCTGAGTGTCTCTGGATTTTCTTGGCTGTTATAACTGATGCCCCAGTTTGGTGAAGTTCTGTTTCAATTTTGCCCAGCTCACTGTGATATTGTTTGCTTTCATTTCATATTTTTGTGTTGGATTCCAAATCCATGCTCACATTTCTCATGGTATGTTAGCATCTACTGCTGTCTTCCACAACTGGGAAAGCCTTAATCCTCCACCCAAAATTTAGGGCAACAAGAGCAGAGCACTTTTGTTTTCTCCCAGGATAGTTACATTTTTCAAATTTAGGTCTGATGATGATGTCCAAGAATGACAGCTTATTTTTAAATATCACCATTACACAGATATTCCATTGGGGGCAAGGCAAACTTTACTGTGGTAAGGGAACTTCCTGTGTGCATCTCTGCCTGGATCAAATATAAACAGTTGTGTCATCACTAACTAAACTCAAGTCTACATTATGGCAGTTTCATAAAGGCACTTGAACAAAGCATAAATGTGGTCTATTTCCAGAACTGCTAGCACATTAAGGTGGAAAACAATGGCGTTAGTAAAAAGAGAAATTCTCTCTAAGAAGACTTATGCTGGTAGCTCTTTGTGTAGTGAAATGTGCATAGCTAAATAAGACTTCCGTTGAAGTAAAGCTCAGTTGGTGGAAAGTGGAGGTAGCAAGCCACTTTGCAAGATTTGGACATAGGCAGGTTGGGAGGAACAAAAATAGAGCTGAGAGCATTTTTACTTTTCTGACAAGTAAATCAAATGATATACTTTCCCTTCAGTATTTGCCAGGAAGGTACTGGGGGATATTTTTCGAGCCAATCTAAAATGTTGCCAAGGAAGGCGGCTGTGGACAAGAAGACAGAGACGAGAAACAGGGCCTTTGTTTCCAGAGAATAGGGCCAAGAAGATGTAACCGGGGCACCTTGGCTGCCTTCGCCATGTCTTGGGGAGCCTTTATAGCTGATTCTTTGAACCAGGCCTTTCCAGCAAATATTGGCTTTTGAAATACAGCAGGGACTAAATTAAAGTCACAGAGGTACAAATTGTCCAAATCGGAGCTAGCAGACAGGGTACACATGTGGGCATGAGTCAGTGGCTGTGTGAGGATCCAGGGAGTGAGTCATTCATTCTGGCGGGGTGGGGGAATGAATAGGGTAGTCAGGAAACCAAATGAAACTTCCTCTCTTGCAAAGGACAGGAGTCCATCCATAAGGCAAAGAGGGGAGCAAAGGCAAGTGAGTGGGATAAGATGGTCACTTTTTTGTGTTCTTGGTTTGACTGTGTAATAGCTTATCAACAATTTAGAAAGTGGCCTGGGGGCTGGCAGTTATTATCTCCTTAGTTACCGCCCTTGTGAGTCTGGGAAAATACATCATGCACGGACTACACAGCCTTTTCTCTTCCTCTCTTTGATAGCTGCACTTTTGCTTGCTCCTGGAACCAGAAGCTAGTCCCCAACCAGGGCTGGCCCTGTTGTTAGCTAGATTGAGGAGGCTGTCTCAGACAACAGCCATTAAGTGCCCTGAAAGGGCAGCAAATTGCTAGATTTTATATGATCATATTTTTAATGGGATAGATGCTTGTTGGATTTTTCTGGCTGATTTTAGGCATCACGCTTCTTGAGTTGGGTGGTAGAGATTGTGATTTGCTGAGATGTTTCAGAGCAGAATGGCAACACATACCATTGTGATGTCCAGAGCATAAACACAAAAGCACTTCTCATGAATTTTTTGCAAACTGGCTGAGGCCTGAGTGACAATCTAGGCTTACGACACTGAGGACCAAAGAGTGATCCAGAAAGTTAATACTGACAGCAGAAGCCTCTCATCTGGGTCTGGAAATGTTACAGATACTTGTAGGTTGGAGAAAGCCAAAATGTGACCATGCTCTAAGTTCCAGAGAACTGAAAACTATTTAGTAAAGAGGTAGTTGCTCATGGTGGATGTATGCACCCCACTTTCATCTTTGGCAAATAGGTTTTGAAGTTTTTTTCCCCTTTTGGTATAAAGATGGACATGAACCTCGGTTTGGAGGTTCATGCCAGTTCGTAAGTGTGGCACCACAGGTGCTGCACATTCCTTTCTCCCACCTCTCTAGCCAGTGCCTCACTCAGTAGCTGGAGCATGGCACTCTCCTCCTCTTCTTTGGTTGTTTAGCCAGTCCCTGGCAGGAGCATGGGGTTGCCGGCTCTGCCACCTTGTCTGCCAAAGAGGAGGAGGAGAGGAGCACATGGCAGCTGGTGAGTGGGGGAGTCCAGCCGGGGATGTGGGGAAAGGGAACACGTCGCACCTGTGGTGCCATGTTTATGAACTGGCAGGAACCTCCGAGCTGAGGTTCATACCCATCTCTATTTTGGTATGATTCCAACGTCCTGCAAAGCTTGTTTGATCAGAGATGACTGTAGAACAAAGAAATATAGATGCACACACCATGGGAAATTAAGATCCTCCCACCCTACCCTTGACTATCTTGAAAACAACTTCCTGCCTTTTAATAAATAAAAATAAGTGATGTTAATTATGCAAATGGAATACCATTGGTGGTGATGAAGTTGTATGTAAACACATGAAATCAAGTGCCCTCCCTTCCTTGATCGTTCCTGTTCCAAGTGTGATGGGAGGGGCTTTGGGAGGCTCATTTCTTCTTTCAAATAAGAGGAAGGTACACAAAATGCTGGATTTTCTAAGAATCTTTCCCCCCCTCTGTTTCCTCCACCACCTGTCTTTTCACCCACATTGTTGTCCATCAGCTGAAGGAGAGTTGGCCAAACTTCAGCGGCAGTTCCGGCTGTTAGAAGGCAACCGTCATGCGTATGCTTTGGAGTCTCGTGAAATCATTCGTAGGCAGATGTATGTATTCACCTAATATCCTTTACCAACGGTCTCCTTGGAAATGTATCTTGAAATCTACAAAGAATGGGGATAAGGTCAGGATCAGCAAGGGTGGGAAGAAAACGACTCTTTTCCTTTATTATAGCAGAATTTTAAATTTGTATCATTCTGTTCTCTGTATTGCCTGTAGTTTAGCAAGTTTTGGAAATTAGATAGAACCCTGAGAAATCTTTTTTTAATCTTAGAGGCAATAGTGAGGCAAGGTACAGCTATAGCAAATAGTGCATAAGAAAAACCTTGCATTATACCAAAGACTTGTCTAGGTCAGCTTTCTTTTTGCATTGTAGCCAATTAAATGTCCATGAGTAGCAATCAACAACACAAATACAACTGCCAAATAGTACCTGTATTGTGTTGAATCATAGTTGCAAATACATACTGTACATGTTTATACATATAGTTTTGGAGTTATGATGCCTACAGTGAAAGCTGTCAACTGCCTACAATAAATACTATGAACAATGGAATGGGAAAAGTGTGTTTCAGCATAGTTTCTAATTCTAAATTATGTATTTGTGGTTGCAAGCCTCAGTATAATATGCATATCATTTATGATTTATCGAGGCTTATGTATATAATTTTGTTAACCATTGGGAAACACTCACTGGTTGAAATCCAGTTATTGTGGCTTTACGCTACACAACAAAGATGATGTCATTGCATGGCAATGCTATGGCTTATTTTAAAATTTTCTATCCTCAGGTTCTGAAGTTCCCTAAGGATCCCTTTTGTCCTGGGGGGAGCCTTTTGATTGGGGAAGGGAGCTTTTCATACTGGAAAATATTTATTTACCGTAGTTAAAATGTTTTTGCTCCACCTTTCTCCTTAAAAAGGATCCGTGGTGGCTTGTATCATTAAAAGACAGCAATAAAGCTAAACAATAGCCACTAAAGGAAGGCTTGGATTTGACTATATAGTTCCCAAGCAATTGCCATTGGTAGATATTCCTGTCTTTGATACTGGAGGTAAAATATAACCACTGTAACAAGTAGCTATTGGTAACCTTATTCTCCATGAAATACTCCTTTTCTCCTATGGTCCTTCTTTTAAAAGCTCCTTTCAAAAGACAGGGTGAGGGGAAGGCTATTTTCATTTTCAGTGCCAAACTGCATTGAGAGGCCCAGTTTTCACCTTTTAGTTCGCAGTACCTCATATATTTATGAGAGAGTAGCTGTGTGTCCCACTGACGAGCATATTTCCTGGCTGTCTTTCTTCCCTGACCCAGAACTGATGAGTGGCACCCATTCTTTGATTTCTGCTTCTTGCTCTGAAAATTATAATGTCAGGTTTGTCAAGGGTCTGGATATAGTACATCCTCCTGCAAGGGGACAGTTGTAAATGGACACAGAGAAACCACCCATTCATTCTTTTCCCCACATCAGCTTCCCCGTGCTCTGATGTAAATACTGACCTAACACAAGTGCATATGGCAACAGATATGCCCCTGGAAACACACAGTGGACAATGCGTTTGATCACACTGGGCAACTATGTATGTGATGTACATGTGGGTTAACCATTAAATCTTGTGACCGTATGCCATACCCTGCAGTCTGTTACATAGATGTTACAGGCATAAAGATTTTGATGTCTGCACAATTTCAAATTTATTCCCTACAGTTCCGTTTCCAGCTCTATCCTACCCTTTAATCCACTTGAGTCCCCCAAAATCCAGAATTTATGCCTGTCTTCCTGCAATAACATTGCTTAATATCCAGATAACTTTGAAGTCCTATCCTATTGCAATAACACACAAAATTCTACCTCCTTCATATGGAAGTTCTTTCTCCTCATCCCCTCTAGTTTCATATTCTGCCGACCCAACAGTCATTCTAGTATTCCACAACAATTGTGCTCTCTTGTGCAGATTCCTTAAACCTGTTATGGTGTATCATTCAAACCCAGCCTCTTAAATATAGAGTTTGCCCCAATTCCACACACTGGCCCACCTATCCAGAGTTTTTACGATTCATGTTCAGACTCAAATCCCCAGCTCTCCTGTCATTCCCATAGCTGGGCTTGTAAAGCTCCTTTGAGCTGGCTTTGCCACCAATTCCCACCAAAACTCACCACTGCCATGGCGCTCCTATCCGCGCCCGCCTAGCTGCATCCTCCCGTATCATCCTGCCACCCCTGTCAGCCTCTGCCCCTCTTGTCTCTTCCAGGGCAGAGGTGAAGCGCCTGGAGAAGGAGAATGAAGACCTGCTACGCAGGCAAGCTGTGGCTGAGGCACGCAGCAACATGAAGCAAGAAAAAGTCAAAAGCGACACTCTCCGTTCCTTACTGGGGCAGCGGGATGAAGTGGAACAGCAGATAATCCAAGAGAAGAAGCGGATAGCCCAGCTTGATAAAGAGGTAGAGGAAGACTAAGAAGCAGATACTCAGGGTTTCTAAAGTTAAAAAATGAGCCGTAGTGCAGGGATTAGAAATGTGTGGCCCTCCAGATGTTGAAATGCAATTCCTGTTGTCTCTTACCTTCAGCATTGCTGGCTAGAACATACAAGATTTGCAGCACCAACAAAATCCAGAGGGTCACATATTCCTGAGCTCTGTTTTAGTGTGTTGAATCAGTGGGGTTGCGAGGTGGGTGTCCAGGGCTTTCTAGAAGGGAAAAGGGATGTAACTAAAAAGTATAGCAACTACTGGTGGACAAGTAGTGATGCGAGGAGTGGGAGCAAAATGGAAGCATTTAAGCGAGAGGCAGACTTTTCCCCCTCCACATGTACATAAAGGGAACCTAAAGGAAATGGGAATCAGCAGAATGGAAACTGGGAGGAGAGTTTGATTGTTGGATTCAAAATGGAGATGAAAAGTGCAAGGAGAGAAAGAGTTGGCAGCTTGGGTTCCAGAATGAAATTTGTGAAAATGGAGGAGCTGAGAACCAATTTTCTTCATTCTTTCTCCAACGTTGACTTCTCAAGCCTCATCTTTTCCTTCCTGATCACGGACAGATCCAATCCTGGCAAAAGCAGTTGGCTGAACGGAAGCAGATGGCAGGCAGTGAGACCCTAATTCAGGAACAAAAGGCCCATTTGCAGAAAAGAATAGAGACAGTAGAGAATCAGCTAGACAAGGTATGAAAAGAAGTAGTGGTAAGTAGACCATAATCTGGATTTCTTGGTTATCACATTTGTTTGTTCACTATTCCATTTTCTGTTTTCAGGCCTCTTCAGAATTCAGTTCGCAGCTTGTCTTGAATTCACAGCTACGGGAGGATCTAGAAATTCTCCGGGTTGGACACGACCGTTTTGAACTGCTGTATAAGCAATTGGAGATGGTATGGCCATTCATGCTAGGAGAAAAACTGAGTGGAGCTGGTGGGATGGAAGTGGCTGGTTGGGTTCCTGAGAAGAACTGGCGTCCAGGTGTATCTTCCAGGCCAATTAACATTCTGTTACAGAATTTTGGGATCTGGTTGCCTGGTGAGAACTCTAACACAGTGGAAGAGCGTGATTGGCTGTTGAGGCATTTTGAAATCAAGGCTTTGCTTTGGTCAAGAGGGACTCATGAACCCAAATCATGAGATTTAAAAGTACATTAAATGCTATTTTTTGTAAGCAGTAATCTGAAAAATGTAAGTGGTCAGTTAGATTCTGGCAAGAAGGATTAAATTGTTCTGCTTTATATCTATCTTCTTTAAGCCAAAAAACATGGGATTGAAAATAAGTCCCATAACCTCTTTCTACTATCTTCTCCTCCTTCCAATGCATTGTCACTGTGCTTCATTCAAATCAGGTTGAATGCATATTGTTAGAGAGTTTCCTTAATAACCTGTCAAATTCTCACATCATCCCATATTTAATCACCCATTTTGTAGTGTTTCCCACGTGCTAGTTGGTTGGAGGTCCTCAAACTGCACCCTTTTGATTCAGCTCTTCTACCCCTCGACTGGCCACACTTTATCAAAGAGAGCATTCCCAAGATGGCTTCACTGCAGAGGGCAAATAACTTGCCTAAATTGCTATGTAAAAGTCTGAAATTTTGTGTGCAACTGCTTATATCTCCAATGCAAATGTGTTGGACAATTTCTACATTTCTAGCTGAGGGAATGAAAAGCCCCGAAGAAGTGTTCCATGAATCACTAACAGTATCAATTTAGTAGTTATGGGTTCATGTGGGGTTCAGAGGAAGACAGGTAGGAACTAAAATGGATGAACAGACCCTTTTTGCTAGGATGTTTGTGGAAGTAGCTTGGAGGGGAAAGGTGAACAGCAACAGGGGTTACAAAAAGAGAATGGAGCTTCATAAACAGAATGGTACTGTTGGTGCTGTAACAAGGGATCATTCTATAATAAGAGCTAATTCATTCTCTCTGTTTCATTCCATAGGAGCTGCTGAATACTCGTAAAGCCATAGAATTCTCTCTTCATTCCACAGGAGCTGCTGAATACTCGTAAAGCCATAGGGGCCATCATCAGTACATCCTCTGCAGCCTATGATGCAAGGTTGGGGAAGGGGATATACTTCCATTGGGGAATAGGTGACCTCACATTCAGATGGTGCTGTGCTGCTGCACCCTTGTTAATGAGCATACCTCCCCATAGCTCTTGATTATTTCTTAACTGCATTGCTGTTTTCTTCCTCTCACTGAAGAATTCAGGGCTGCCTTCATAAGTATTAGCCACAGATCCTTCCAAATCCTAAATTCTAACCTTAAAATTGGCCTCTAATATTAAAAGTGGGTCCTGTATATCCTTTGAGCTCAAAAGAATGAAAAATTCTGCTTCAAGGTAATCTGAAGTTTGTGCCATGAAAGCAGAATTCTGTGAGCTTTGTAGACATTTGCACAAGAATATGTGTGTTTAATTTTGCATTAATATTGATTAATGGCAGACAAGAGCAAGGAGCTGTCCAGAGTACTAAAAATATTCCCGATCCCCCAAATTGTAACATCTAGTGTCTGGTTTTTGACAACTCCCCCCCCCCCGAATTGTAACATCTAGTGTCTGGTTTCAGAATTCTCCAACTGTTGTTCATGGATATTCTGGCATCTCTCTCTCAAAACATAAGGACGAGAAACTTGCTTTAAATCTTCTGAAGATGCTAAGTGTTTTCTGAGTCACTCATATAACTCCCACACTCCAGATCAAAGAACCCTTGCAGAGATTTACAGAAGAGGTCAAATAGAATACCATCAAAGAAACTGAGAATCTCATTTTTTAGGTTCTGTAAAAATGGATTAGGATCTAGTTTGACTCAGACATTGGACCTTTGGTTTCACAGTAGGAGGTCCAGCAGCTTTGAGGAATGGAGAGCTTGAGAGCTAGAACTTGGCTTGAAACATAGGAGAATATATACAATAGAACCAGACCAACTGTCTGTTCCCAACTGATTTGGGCTTTTTCTCAGTACTGCTCCTTGAATCCTTGAGGTAGAGGGAAAGGTTGGAGTTGATCCTTAGATTTTTAGGGGTAAATAACCTATGCCCTTCTATTGAATTGTGGTGCTTCCCTATATGAATATCTATTGATACTGAACTGGACCATCAGTCCTAGTATTGTGGCGCTTCCTATTTTGACTTGGCAACAGCTCCCCAAGATTTGGGGAAGGTATTTTCAGCCTGCCTGCCTAAAACCCTTCCAGTGGTGATGTGGGGATAGGAGCTTCCTGTATGTAGAGTTTGCGCTGGGAGAGATGGTCTCCCCTTCTGCCCAAGTGCTGAGGTGAAATTGAAACCACAACTGCCCTAGATTAGTAGGGAGAAATAAGAATGGTGTGTGTGGGGGGGGGGCAAAGGATGAAAAAGAGGAAACTGGGATTCCTGCTTGTATTTTCAAACCTTCTGTTCTTTCAGTACTTGCCTTGTATGTTCACTTGGATTAATGCAGGGATGAGGCACAAGCACGCCTGAGCCAGCTGCAGGAAAAGGCAGCGAAAGATCGAAGACAACATGAAACTGAGGTGAAAGAACTGGACCGCATCCTAGACAATGACCGCCGCATGTCCGAATTCATTGCCATCAAGTTGCAAGAGCGGGTGCTTACTGAAGAGGCCTTGAGGGCAAAGAAGAAGAAAGGTACTGGGGGAGTGAGGGTGTAGGGATGGGACTTAGAGCTAGCATGACTTTGTCTTTGAGATGGGAATTGGCCTTATCATAGAGGAGCCTTGAGCCAGGATTGCTGGTGTATCTGTCTCATGCCTTATCATAGAAGAGCCTTGAGCCAGGATTGCTGGTGTATCTGGGAGGAGTTTAGTGAATGATCCTGGGAGTCTTCATGCCTGGCTCTGGAGTAATTCACCCTGTGTTTTTAAATTTGCATCACTCATTACTATCGAATACAGTGGTCCCCAACCTTGGGCCTCCAGATGTTCTGGGACTTCAACTCCCAGAAATCCCGTCCAGCAGAAGTGGTAGTGAAGGCTTTTGGTAGTCCAAGAGCATCTGGAGGCCCAAGGTTGGGGACCACTGATTTAATACACACAGATTTTTTCATTCCTAGTAAGGGTGGCTGAAGAATAGGATTTTACTCTAGTTAAAAAAGATGGTTAATCCATAGCTGGTTGACCTATTGGTTGAAATTTGCTTAGGAATGAAAACAGTTCTTCTGAATCAAGAAGCACACATTTCTAAATAGTGTGCATCTTAGTAAACTTAGTAATATAACAGTATGGAGAATTTTTGGTGCTCCAAAAGACTACAGCTCCCATTTTCCTCTTACAATTGGTTAGGGGTTCTGAGAGCTGAAGTTCAAAACATCTGGAAACACCACGGTTTCTCACACTACTTTCTTATATAAAGGAGGAACATGTATTTTCCTCCTTTATATAAGAAAAGGGAAATATATTTTCAAAAACCGTGTTTACCATCTTCTACGTTTATGAAAAAAACCTTTATTAAATATAATTTTTTAAATAATAAACTCTTCATGATCCCATGGACCAGAGCATGCCAGGCCCTCCTGTCTTCCACTGCCTCCCGGAGTTGGGTCAAATTCATGTTGGATGCTTCGATGACACTGTCCAACCATCTCGTCTTCTGTCATCCCCTTCTCCTCTTGCCTTCACACTTTCCCAACATCAGGGTCTTTTCCAGGGAATCTTCTCATCTCATGAGATGGCCAAAGTATTGGAGCCTCAGCTTCAGGACCTGTCCTTCCAGTAAGCATTCAGGGTTGATTTCCTTCAGAACGGATAGGTTTGTTTTCTTTGCAGTCCAGGGGACTCTCAAGAGTCTCCTCCAGCACCATAATTCTTCATCAATTCTTCAGGGGTCAGCCTTCTTTATGGTCCAGCTCTCACTTCCATACATCTGTACGGGAAAAACCATAGTTTTGACTATGCAGACCTTTGTCGGCAAGGTGATGTCTCTGCTTTTTAAGATGCTGTCTAGGGTTGTCATGGCTTTCCTCCCAAGAACAAGGTGTCTTTTAATTTTGTGGCTGCTGTCCCCATCTGCAGTGATCATGGAGCCCAAGAAAGTAAAATCTGTCACTGTTTCCATATCTTCCCCTTCTATTTGCCATGAGGTGATGGGACCAGTGGACATGATCTTAGTCCCATGTGGGACCAGTGGACATGATCTTAGACCATTTTTTGCGCTCTCCTCTTTTACCCTCATTAAGAAGTTCTTTAATTCCTCCTCCATTTCTACCATCAGATTGGTATCATCAGCATACCTGAGGTTGTTGATATTTCTTCTGGCAATCTTAATTCCGGCTTGGGCTTCATCCAGTCCAGCCTTTTGCATGATATATTCTGCGTATAAGTTAAACAAGCAGGGAGACAATGTACAGCCTTGTCGTACTCCTTTCCCAATTTTGAACCAATCAGTTGCTCCATATCCAGTTCTAACTGTTGCTTCCTGTCCCACATATAGATTTCGGTTTTCCATTAATTGGGTGCAACTTGACAGCACATAAAATATGCAAACAGACATCAGTTGGTGAAGTATGTTATTTTTGTATAAAGCGTGTGGTGCCACAGCTTAGCAGTACCCTTCCTAAGAAAATCTGAGTGATTATGACAATGTTTTCTTTCAGTTGCCAGGATCAGGCATGCTTATTTGGCCAGACATCTTAAATAGATTTTTTTTGGCTGCCTCTGTAGTATGCACTGCCACCTAGTTTTATAAAAGAAAATGGAACATTTTTATTGCATTGTGCACTGCCTTGAAATCTTTTGGATGAACAGTGTTCTAATAATATTTAGAATAAGTAATTGGACAATTAGAAGGAATTTTAATTGGTTAAAACCAATTAACAGTCAAGTTAATTGGTTAAACATTGCAGTAATTTTGAAGAGTAAAATGATTGTTGTCTTTTCATGTGTACATACTGGTGGCATAGAGATTCATTTGATCTTGAGCATAGTATGACTGGGAATATAATGTAAAGTTACGGTAAGAACTGCATTGTTTTATCTCCCATTAGACGAAGAACGCAAGCGGAAAGACCCTGAGGAGGAGCTGTTTGAATCTTACAATGTTGCCATGGATAAAATCCTGGAGATAACTGATTCAGCACACCTGAATGTTGCCTTGAATAAATATATCAAAGGTGATGTGCATAGCAGAAGGGAGCTGCTATGAGGAAAATACTGTTTTCTTCTATAGTAGGGGTGGATAATATTTTATCTAAAGTAAAAGGTTTTTAAACGTTTTTAAAAGTTGTAAATTAGAGTACTGAGATCCCTCCCTTCAGTAGTCATTTATCATTCCAGTTGCAATTGTTTATAAACTAAATTTTTACTTTTCCATTTCTCAGACATGGTTAGAATTGTCACTTCTAGTTTCTCTATTGAAAAAAAAATCCGAATACTACAAGCTATGGGATTGTACTACAAAACATACTCCCCTTCCATCTGACTTGTTATCCTCTCAAAATCCACAAGGCATCAGGAAACACAACAGGAAACACCATTCCTTATCTGTGGTTTAATAAGCCACACCCCTGTAGCTATAAAAGTAACATCTAGAGTTACAGTTGCACCACAAAAGAAATGAAATTATAACTGTAATGTAAGATACAGTAATTAGCTTGGTTCCCTACATTAAGATGGGTTAGTTAATGTAACTTGCTGTTAGAATGTAATACCTTGGATGTTGGAAGAGTGACTAATTCAAAGTAATGTATTCGCGAAGGCTTTCACGGTACCTTGGATATTGGAAGAGTGACTAATTCAAAGTAACTTTAAATTTGCTTAGAAATGAAAACTGGTTACTTCTAAGTTCTAGGTCTGCGTTGTTTCATTTGGAAACTGTTGAGGTCACAATCCAGTCAAAGCAACTTTAAATTTGCTTAGAAATGAAAACCGGTTACTTCTAAGTTCTAGGTCTGCAATGTTACATTTGGAAACTGTTGAGGTCACAATCCAGGATGCAGTGGGGCCAGAACCCAGAGTAGGCAATGCTGGAACCAGAATAGTCAGGTTTTGCAGGGGGTAAAATACATGTGTGCCTAGGCAAGGTTGCCTGTGACACTTCGGTTGAGGTTCACCATTGCAGCTCCCAGGAAAACGGCAGTGATCTTCATCTACTTTGCTCAGGAAGAGCATTACTGCATATGGGATTTGGGCCTTTCTTCACCAGTTTAACTATTGACTTTTGTTTAGTGAGCCAGTGTGGTGTGGTGGATGGAGTGTCAGATTAGAACTCAGAAGACTTGGATACAAATCCCTCCTTGTTTGTGGAAGCTCACTGGGTGTTTGTGTGTGACGTCAATAATAAAGCACTCCTTGAACTTCTCAAATACCTTGAAAACTCTTATTAGGGTTGCCATGTCAGGAGTGACTTGAAGGCATATAATAACAACATATAATAATAAATAAATAAACAGCTTTATTTTAAAAATAAAGTACTGTCTTTCTATCCTTTAAGACCTACAAGATCCCAGATCTACTGCTGGTGTTATTTCCTCTCTACTGATCCTTTTTTTCTTTCCTCTTTAGGGGAGGAAGATAACTTTGCTCAGTTCAACTATGTTAATGAGCAGAACAATCAAAAGGAGCAGCTGTGGGAACATATCAGTGAGGTCAGTGAAGGGGCATAACCTTGGGAGTAGTTTGTATGTTTCAAAGAGGGGATATGCAATCCTTTTTTGGATATGTAATGGTTGCCTTTGATTCTTCACCGGTAACTTTGTGTCCAGTTTCTACAAGAAATAAAATCAGAAAAAGGGTAATAGAATCTGGCTTAACTCTCCAGTCCATCCCTGAAAATGGGGAAGCAACATCAGGAAAGTGGAACCTAAAACCTTTTCAGCAGTTTTGCAGAGGGTAGTGGAAACGCAGCCTGTTTCTGGGCTGGGGTGTAGCTATCTGAGTGTATTGCAAATCATAGCTTCCATTTTAAAAACAAAGCAACATATTTCTATCAAGGCTCTGAGATAAATGATATGTAAACCAGAAGCTGGGAATCTCTGGCCTTCCAGATGTTTTGGACTATATTACCCACAATCCTTTACTATTGGCTGTGATGTTTGGGGCTTCTGGGATTTGGAATGCAACTGACAAAAATTCCCCATCCCTGGCATAGGCAGTGCCTGATGAAATAATGGGAGCCAAAAAGACTGAGAAAGGTTTCTAATGGTTATGGGCTGGAGTTCTGTGTTTCTTCTCTTTCCTCCTGGTCACAATTTTCACCTTTAAAAGCCTGTCCTAGTTTCATTTCTTGGACATACTCTAAGGCCTCTAAAGTTGTTACAAAAATAGTTATTGTGACTCCATCCTGCTGACTTTGGCTGAAGTTTGTTTCTAGACTCTCAGTTCCTTATTCAGCACAGAAATGCAGAAGCAGCCTGAACTAGGAGTGTGATTTGTAGGGATCTGCTCCTCAAATGACACATGGCCACTGTATAGACTCTGGAGAGAAACAGATAAGATAGCACGGTGCTGTGTTTGCATAATCAGTGTGAAAACAAAGCTTCTTGTTTGTCCCCTGATAAAGAGTAATCAAATAAAGGAAAGCTAATTTGTAATTTGTGGAGGTGAGAGTCCAGTTGGACACTGCCAAACATTCTTAACTTACTAAGGCAGCTCCACTTCTAATTGCAAAACTGTCACTTTGTCTATATCTGCCTCCTGTCTATCTTGAGATGGCCTAGCAGAGTATTATTCCTAAAGTATTGGTTTTCCCACAAGATGCTTTCACACCATGCCTATCCTTGCAGCCCCACTTTGTCTATATCTGCCTCCTGTCTCTCTTGAGATGGCTTAGAGTATTATTCCTAAAATATTGGTGTCCTCATAAGGTGCTTTCACACCATGCCTATCCTTGCAGCCAGAAATTATATATTTTACTTGTAAATCTTTTTTTTCTTCCTGCTGCCTTCTTTGGAACAAATAAAAGACTTGCCCATTCTCATTTTCATCCACTGTATTTCTGCATCGAGCAGGGGGTTGGACTTGATGGCCTTTTAGGCCCCTTCCAACTTCACTATTTTATGATTCTATGACTCTTTCAGCTCTGCCGTGAGATCGAGGAGGTTCGAAAGCAGGAAAACCAGAAGGAGATGGAGCAGCTATCACGGCTACAGGAGGCTGAGGCACAGCAGGAAGAAATTGTAAAACAGGGGAACCAGACTGCGCTTAAACTTAAGGCTATCCAGAAAATCTGGGACCAGTTCAAAAATGGTAAGTAAAGACTGGAAGATGCGAGAAAAGGCATTTTTACCTGAGGGGGCAGCACTGCTGGTTTAGAGCAGTGGTCCCCAACCTTGGGCTTCCAGATGTTCTTGGTCTTCAACTCCCAGAAATCCTGGCCAGCAGAGGTGGTGGTGAAGGCTTCTGGAAGTTGTAGTCCAAGAACATCTGGAGGCCCAAGGTTGGGGGTCACTGGTCTAGAGAATTAGAAAGAGAGGGTTTCAAACCTATTGGAAGCTTTCCTCTGCATTCTTAAGGCTTACAAACTTGACTTTGACCAAAAAGTGGAATTGGTCATAGAAGGAGAAGGGACAGAGAGGGAAATGGAGAAAAGGGACTCGGATCTGGACTGGAAATGTCTCTTGGGCCTGATGCAGCCAGAGGACTATTTGCTGAAGCACAATATGACTGGCTAGTGAGATCATCTGGGTTTAGAGACCAGAATGGTCACAGAGACCACTGGTCTTGTAGCGCATTGGCACATTGCGGAGAGGGGTTTCTAGTGCTTGAACACAGGAGGGTTTTAGGATGGATGGGCAAGTGGGAGCCCTCCTGTTCTTGATGAACTGCATTGATGAGCCCGATAAAGCATTAGGCATGATGGACATTTTAGTCCATCAACATACAAATGTCAATAGGTTGTTCATGCCTGATCTGAAGAGAGACTTCAGGGAGAGAGAGCAAAAAAACAAAAAACAAAAACAAAATAAAGCAAACAAACATTTCATTTTCCTGAAATGAGAGGACTTGGGCTCATCCATTGAAACTGGTCGGCAATAATCTCAGGATAAAGAAAAGGAGATATGTGCAATGTGTAATTAAGGCTGGATACAGATGGTAGCATTTTTAAGAAAGGTCTTAAGTGGTTTCAGAGCCTTTGTGTGTCTCTTGTTGTAGCCTTCTTTGAAATTGCTTCCAACTGTTCAGGAAAACAAGCCAACCAAACCATCACCTGACTCCAGCTGGCCTCGTGAAATTCCTGTTCACAAGATGGATTGGATGCTGGCCAGTGGAAGATGGCTTTGAAAGAATATTTTCCACAGCATTTAACATTTATGAAAGGCTTTTGTCCATTAGGGCAATTTGGGGTGGCTCCCAAGAGTTCCGTGGTGTTTGGAGATGGAGTGGAAATCCGTGGTTGGAGCCACATGTTTTGTGGGCCGAGACTTATTTACATCGCATTGTCTTCTTCTTTCAAAGCAATTGAGTCTCTCTTTTGGAAGCTTCAGTGTGATCACTCAGCACTGGAGAACATGTTGGGGGGGACGACGACCGCCCGTGATGAGAATGTTGCCATCTACCTAGGCTTGATTGAACAAAAGGCCAACGATCTTTTGACTATGTACTCCTTCTCGCTTGCTGAGGTATGCAAACTTGGATGGGCAAGAAACAACTATTATGGCTGGACAGCAGGTTTTCCTGTTTTCAGTTTGTTTGTTGTGGAGAAAAGTCCCTGTCCCCCCCAGCGCTCACAGGACAGGCAGATACAGCCTTTGCCTGGCTTTTCCCAGGATATTCAGCCTAGTCATATTGCTGTAATTAACATATGGGGAATGTTTTATTGGGCCGGAAAACCCATGTAGCACAAATATGGGACCGCAGCTGCTGGACAGAGCCTGCCTGCAGAGGTCTCTTAAAGAACATTTGAGTAGATTTTTCCATTCCAGTGTAACATTTCATGTGTTTTCTAACTGCCCCATTGTAGGAAAAGGATTACTGTACTCTGGAACGAAGCAACGGAACCCACAGTGCTTGAAAGCTTAATGTTACTTTTGCTTTCCAGGCCTTATTTGCTGTACTGTAACCTTTTACATGTTTTATTTCTTTCAAATCCATTTATCATGATGTAAGTTAGGAACTCTGTAAAAATATTGAAGCCAATATTTTAGGGATATTTAGTTAGAATTGTTTATGTCTGTATTTTCCATTCAGTTTTGACCTAGTAGAAAAAGTATTGATCAAAACTATTAGTGGCACATTTCTATAGGGTAGGCCTCTTTTAGTTTAAATCATTATGGAATGACAACAATAAGCCCCTGCTTTGTAATTCTCTATTTTGTCCCTTTTCAGGAGCAAGACCGTCCCTATGATACAGTGGAGACAGCACAGCTCCTCTTGGGCCAGACACCTGAGACTCGACCACAACCCATTCACCTCCGGCCACCTACTGCTGGGTAAGGAGAGGTGCCTGATCCCCAACATGCACTTGTCTGTATATTAAGATGTCCTGCCAGAACTGTGTTCTGAGTGCCCCAATCTAAGTTCCAGGCAGATCACTTTGATTTGAATATTAGTAGAAATGTCTTGATGGGAAGAGTAATCGAGTGATGGGACCAAAGATGAGGTATCAGTCAGTGTCCAGGACTGGACACCTGTTTCTTGGGGGTACTGCAACTCTGGATTTTATTCTCTGAGCAGAAACTACATTGGCCTCAAAGGAAGGGTCCACCTTTGGAGTAACTTCTATATCTTCATTCACCTTTGCCTACCTTAGTAAGTTTTAGATGTCAATTTCAAGTTTCAGGGTTTGCTTTTTTACTTGTGGGGAGGGAATTGACCAATTTCCAGCTCTTTGTCTCATTGGTGGGCCTTGGCTGATAGTTTTCATACAGTGGTTGTATAGCTCTTGCATAGCTCTAGCAATAAAGCCAGAATGGCTTCACAATTAATGGCAGATTACCACTAATTAAATGTAACCATTTCACTTGGAGAAATGAGAGAGCAAAAGAATCCACGTAAATACTCTGCAGATTTTTAAGGGGAATGTCATATAGTTAGGAATTTTGGGTACAATTTGTATCCACATCTTTGTCTTAAAGGAGGTCAGATATTAAAAGCAAAGTCATATCCAGCAAGTCTGTGCAAAACAGGAAAAGGCAACAGGAGTTGCAGTCATTAACTGCAGTAATGAAATATAAAATCACAGAGAGCCAAATGCATTCTGAAATAAAGCTTTTTATTCAGTGGCTAGTTAATTTAAAAAGTTTAGCCTTCCTCAGAAATGAACTCTTCAGAGGAATGTGGGAGCAGCATTCAAGAGCTATTAAGGATTTCAAATGTTGTGTTATTTAAATAATACAAAACAGCAGCAATCTGTTTTTGAAAGGACTGGCTTGTAGGTGTTCATGCATAGGGGCCTCTTTATTTTTCACCATCTAGTTCTTTCATTCCCTTCACAGGCCTGGCCATGAGCCAATTGCTGAAGAAGACCAGAGACCTTTGACACACGAGGAGCTGAAAGAAAAAGTACTGAAAGATGTATGTTCAAGGGATGGAGAGGGTTTATGTGCTCTCTTGTGAGGAATGTAGAGCAGGGGAGGGCAATTTCAGATGGTCTCGGGGTAGTTTTCCACCTCCCTAGATACCATGTGGGCTGCAAAATCCCTTCTTGGTGGAACCATATGAGTGAAATGGGATGGGGCGAGTGCTAAAACAAGGTGCAGGTATGACTGTGCTTTCTTTTAGGAAAGGATCAACCTCATGGAGGCTGCTGGATGTGCAGTTTGGGTGATCTTGTCTCAAGTTAGAGTCCCCAGGTGTTCTTGGACTGAAACTCCCACAAGCCTTCAGCACTAGTTGTACTGGCCAGGATTTCTGGGAGTTGTAGTCTAAGAACATCTGGGGACTCAGTGTTGGGAACCACTGGACTAGACAATGTGACTCCTTTGGCCATCCAGATGTTTCAGACTTCAGTTCCCAGAAGTTATACCCAGTGTGGTCAACAGCAAGGACTTGTGGGTGTTGTTATTCAAAGCATCTGGGAAGATTGAGAGAGAGAGAGAGGGAGGGAGAGAGAGACCAGAGCATCTGGGAAGATTGAGAGAGAGGGGGAGAGGTTCTCCACTGATCCAAGTATTTTCATTTGGGACTTTCATCTATCTGTCCGCATATATAAGACATCCTACCAAATAGTGCTGTATACCTTCCACAGGGCGTTCTCTATAAATGTGGGGGCGGGGTGCAGGGAGCACTTGTTGTGTTACTAATTTTTTACCTGAAAATAACAATATGAATTTATCTTCTCCCCCCTCCAGGTCCTAAGTAAAGCAGGAGCACTATCCCTAAAGAAACACTTGCATTCTGAAGCAGCAACTATACATTCTGGGTCAGCTGCAAGCAAAAAGTAATATCTATCCTCTTGATTTGAGTAGGAATGCATTTGCAGCCTGTCCCATGCCATGCAGAAGACAGATACCATGCCAACACTGGCAGAACTGTGTTACTATGTGGCCCTCTCACTTCATCGCCCTTAACACCAGTGTCTTCTGCAGCAGCCTTATTCTTGCTTTGGAGGATTAGCGTTCCTGGACATAGCTTTCACCCTGCAGGAACCTCACTCTGCTGTGGATTCTGGAAGACCTTCCTCCTGCTGGTGAAGTGTTCCCCTTCTTGGCTGCTCATTTGATCAAGACAGATATACTGTGTCAAAAATACCTAACTCACAGCCTGTATATTAACACAGCTCTTCACTCACACACTGCTCTTAAGCTCCTTGACTCCAGAACCTAAGGAGAGATGTATCTGAAAACACTTTAACTATAGTAATGGTATGCCTGCATGTAGCCTCTCATATAAAGGGAGGTTTTCTTGTGGGTCTCTAGTCTAATAAGGAGGAATGTCTGGTATTCATCTGGACAAGAGTGTCCACCTCTCTGATTCTAAAACAGGCCACGGTTGGATGAGAAGGGGATGACTAAAATTCACTGTCTCCCTAACAACCACCTTGTGTCAGAAAAATGACATTTTTAGCTCCCTCCTGCTATGACTTGCTGAAGCCTCCAGAACAGGAAAGTCTTATTCATTCTCAGAAAGAGCAGTTGGGGCCCCAGAGGGTTCTGTTGAATATGTTTAGAATATTTGGCAATGCATTCTTGGTTTTCTTCCCTCTTTTTAAAAACCACACTACTAGCATATTCCTCAGAAAGAATGTGGCTTTGACCATGTGGGAATTTTATATGAAGTTGAGCAAGTCCTACCCACAGCTGTTTACTACCATGAGCTGCAGCCTCATGAGTGATGTATGTGAAATTTTGAAGGCTACATGTGAAAATATACACGAAAACACCACCCTTCCTGGTATACATGTGAGAGGCAGTTTCCTCTGTGGTTGGTTTTGTTTTTTTTGTTTTTTTTGCCCTTCATTTAGTGTAAGGGTGGATTTTTTAAATTATTTTTTTCCCATCACGGATGAGATCCTCACAATAATTCTCCCACCCCACCCTTGCTCTACACTCTCCTATGGTGCTCCTGTTGCAGTCTTTCCCCAATGTCTAAGGAAAGACTCCTGGGCAATACAATTCTTCTCCCAAAAATGATCATCATGAAAACAGTCTTGATAGTTTCAGTGAATGAACACAGAGGTATACTTTCAATCTTGCTACTCCCATGGGTGTGAAATATGGGGGTTGTTTGACATAGGAAGGTATAGAAGTGGGGCCTCACGCCAAATGGGGCACTACATTCACAGTCCTTGTAACAGGTGAAAGAGACTGTCTCACCTTTCTTTTAATTATCAGTGTAAACTGGAAAATAGATTATTAAAATGTTTAACTGGCAATTTGATGGCTGGCTTCTGATAATTGAGTGGGGTGGAAAAGAGAATGGGGTCCAGGGAACTAAGTAGAGGTCAGGTTTGTAGAAGTGCGCTGGCATGAGGAACTCAGTAATACTATAAATGAGAAGCATCTTGAAATTGTTGAGCCCAGAGTATGATGTGGCTGCAAAAAAGGCAAATGCTATTTTAGGCTGCATTAACAGAAGTACTGTATAGTTTCCAAATCCCATGAGGTACTAGTTCCTCTTTATTTGGCACTGCTTAGCCCTCATCTAGAGTACTGTGTCCAGTTCTGGCCACCACACTTTTAAGAAGGATACCAACAAACTGGAATAAGTTCAGAAGAGGGCAACAAGGATCATCAGCAGATTGTAAACCAAGCTCTATGAGGAAAGAGTAAAAGGATTGGGCATGTTTAGCCTTGAGAAAAGAAGACTGAAAGGAAATAGGATAGCACTTTTCAAATACTTAAATGGTAGCCATACAGCGGAGGGGAAGGATCTGTTCTTGATCATTGCAGAGTGCAAGACACATAATAGGCTCAAGCTAAAGAAAACCAGATTTAAGCAGAATATCAGGAAAAAACTTCTTAAACTATTAGAGCAGCATAACAATGAAACCAATTACTTCAGGAGGGGATGGAACACTCTGGTGCTGGAGGCATTCAAGAGTAAATTGGACAACCATTTGTCAGATTTGCTTTAATTTGGATTCCTGCATTGAACAGGAGTTGGACTTGATGGCCTTATAGGACCCTTCTAACTCACTTATTCTATGAGTCTATAGCTGGAAAATGATTGCTGTAGTTAAGAGTGCAACAGTAGCAATACTTGATCTTCATACCTCTGGCAGAGCTGAGCCATTACTTCTAATTGCAGTACTGAATCTTAAAGTATGGCATACAAAGAAGGCGTTTGACATGGTCCCTCACCAAAGGCTGCTGAGAAAACTCCACAGTCGGGATAAGGGGGCAGGTCCTCTTATGGATTGAGAATTGGTTGAGAACCAGGAAACAGAGAGTAGGTGTCAATGGGAAATTTTCACAGTGGAGCGAGGTGAAGAACAGTGTTCTCCAGGGATCTGTCCTGGGACCATTGCTTTTCAACCTGTTCATCAATGACCTGGAGACGGGGATAAGCAGTGAGGTGGCCAAGTTTGCAGATGACATGAAACTTTTCTGGGTGGTGAAGCCCAGAACAGATTGTGAAGAGCTCCAGAAGGATCTCTCCAAACTGGAAGAATGGGTGGCAAAATGGCAATTGTGTTTCAATATAAGAAAATGTAAAGTAATGCACATTGGGGCAAAAATATCAAAATTTTAGTTATCAGCTAATGCAGCGATCCCCAACCTTTTTCAGTCCGCGGACCGGCTGGGGAAGGCGGGCACCTCCACGCTCGTGCGCATGTGCAAATGGCAGTGCAGCGCTCACACAGGCATGCTGGAGTGTGCATGCAGGCACAAACAACTGCGGGGGTGGGGTGGGAGGTCTGTCTCGGAACTGCGGGGGTGGGGGTGGGAGGTTTGTCTCGGTAGCCCAGTCCGGCTCAGGCCATGGACTGATACCGGGCCATGGACCGGGGGTTGGAGACCTCTAAGCTAATGGGTTCTGAGCCATCTGTGGTGGATCAGGAAAGCGATCTTCGTGTGCTGGTGGACAGCTTGATGAAAGTGTCAACCCAGTGAGCGGCGGCAGTGAAGAAGGCCAATTCCGTGCTAAGTGTCATTAAAAAGTTGATTGAAAATAAAACAGCCAGCATTATAATGTCATTGTACAAAACTCTGGTAAGGCCGCACCTTGGAGTATAGTTTGTGGTCAGTTGCGTACAGTTTTGGTCACCGCAACTAAAAAATAAAGACATAGTGGAACTAGAAAAGATGCAGAAAAGAGTGACTAAGATGATTACTGCGCTGGGGCACCTCCCTTATGAGGAAAAGCTATAGAGTTTAGCACTCTTTACTCTAGAGAAAAGGCGCCTGAAGGGGGACATGATTGAGACATATAAAATTATGCAAGGGATGGCTATAGTGGATAGAGGGAAGCTCTTTTCCCTCTCACACAATACTAGAACCAGGGGGCATCCTCTCAAATTGAGTGTTGGGAGAGTGAGGACAGACAAAAGAAACAATTTCATTATTCAGTGTGTTGTTAGTCTGTGGAACTCCTTGCCACAGGATGCGGTGATGACATCTGGCCTAGATGCCTTTAAAAGGGGATTGGACAAATTTCTGGAGGAAAAGTCCGTTGCAGGTTACAAGCCATGATGGGGATGTATAATCTCCAGGCTTAAAAGGATGGTTCTTCAAAATGCCAGATGCAGGGAAGGGATATCAGGAGAACAGGTATCTAGTTGTCTTGTGTGCTCCCAGAGGCATCTGGTGGAGCCATCGTGAGATACAGGAAGCTGGACTACATGGGCCTTTGGCCTGATCCAGCAGGGCTCTTCTTATGTTCTTATATTAAAGAAGACGGCTTGCATACTAGCCTCCCCCCACCCTAGAACTGCTATCATTTATTAACTCACAGTCTTATGTGGGGGCTTGAGCCGGGAGCAGAAAGCTAAGAGATTGCTTAAAGCAGTGCCCTCTGACAACAGGTGAAGACTAATACAAGGGCAGTTTATTATTATTTTTCCAGCCTTGCTGAACTGGAAATGATTTAAATAGAAGGTAGGGAGGGGGAGAACTGAATTTGGAAATGACACTGCAGGGCCCCTGTGCTCAATTATACACTGCATAGTTGGGAAAAGTTTGTGTGTTTTTTGGTACTACAATTCCAAGTCTCGCTGTTGGGAATTTTAAGGATTTCTTTAAGGATTGCTGTAAAAAAGTAACTTTTCTAAGCTGTGGGATATTTCTAGAAAAAACAAAAAAATCTTGGCCATAAGGAAGTGTTTTTTGGTTTAATAAAACATTGTAAGTGGTGCCTCGCAAAACAATTGGGGCTTTTAATTTGTTCCATGGAAATAGCTGTCTTGCGAAAACGTCTTGTGAAACCCAGTTCCCAATTGGAATGCATTGAAATCTATTTAATGCGGTCCAAGACAAAGACATCTCTTGCAAAACACAGTTCCCCATACAACGTTGGGGAAAAGCAATCCCCTCACCTGCACTGCCTTTGAAAATTCAAAGGGTCTCAGATGGCCTTACTCCAGCAACAAAGAAAGAGGATAAAAGGAGTCAAAGCAGCCCCTGGCTCCTGATAATGGTAAGTCCTTTTGCCCTGTTCCTTTACCACAGAGAAAAAAAAAGAGAAAGAATGGAGTACAAAACATCACCAGGATATACTACCTTTGAAATATCTCAGATGGCCTTACTCCTCTTTCTCCAGCAACAAAGAGAGAGGATAAAAGGAGTCAAAGCAACCCCTGGCTCCTGATAATGGCAAGTCCTTTTGCCCTGTTCCTTTACCACAGAGAAAAAAAAAGAGAAAGAATGGAGTACAAAACATCACCAGGATATACTACCTTTGAAATAGATGCCAACAAGGAAAAATAAAGATGGAAAGGAATTTAGAAAAACCAGGGTTAATTATAACAATCTCCCATTAATAAAAATTATGCAATTAAGCTCCCCAACGGTCCAGAAATCACAGGGATCAGCAACACACCACAAATACAATAGATGCTTTTTTTCCCTCTGGGAAAACCATTTTTATGACCCAGCACTTCTCCTGGAAAATATGAAGTAGAATGCCCCTTGCATCTCTTACCTCATTCTGTCCCCTAACCTCCCAAGTCATGGTGACCCCCTGGCTACATCTCCCACTCAGTATAGGGCTGCACAGCTCCAGTCCTGCCAGAGGCCAAGAGAGCTCCTCAGTGTTTTGGGGTGCCCTGTGGGACCCCCATCAGGGGCTTAGTGTTCCTCCCACAATCCTCTAGTGCAGAGGTATTAGCATATGCTAATACCTATCCACTAGAGGATTATGGGAGGAACACATAGTTAATGCTAGGTGTTCCACTCACAATTAGCATATGCTAATACCTTATCCCAAAACACCAAGGAGCTCTCTTGGCCTCTGGCAGGACTGGGGCTGTGCAGCCCTGTACTGAGTGGGAGGTGCACCCAGGGGGTCACCATGACTGTGACGGTTCAGGGACAGAATGGGGTAGGAGATACAAGGGGCATTTTTGCTTATGCTTTACAGTGGAATTACCATGTCATAAAAATGGTTTTCTCAAGTGGAGATCATCCATTATACTTGGGGCATATTGTTAATCTCTATGATTTCCCTAAATGTGGGGAATTCAGTTGCATAAATTATGTTAATGAGGGAATTATGTTTATAATTTCTTATAATTGTTTTACTCTTTGGTTTCTGGCTATTTTTACCATTCTCTATTATTTACATTTGTAATTATAGCCCCATTAGCAATGCTTTGCAGGATGGTTTTTCCTCTTCAGTTGGGGCACATAAATTACGTAAGCCCTACTTTTTAATCTTAAAACAGTGGGGGAGATAGTGTATGCGTGATTTCCCTAAATGTGGGAAATTCAGTTGCATAAATTATGTTAATAAGGGAATTGTGTTTATGATTTCTTATAATTGCTTTACTCTTTGGCTTCTGGCTATTTTTACCATTTTTTATTATTTAAATTTGCAATTATTGCCCCATTAGCAATACTTTGCAGGATGGCTTTTCCTCCTCAGTTGGAGTACATAAATTACATAAGATGTACTTTTTAGTCTTAAAACAGTGGGGGAGATAGTGTATGTAAGGGAATTGTGTTTATGATTTCTTATAATTGCTTTACTCTTTGGCTTCTGGCTATTTTTACCATTTTTTATTATTTAAATTTGCAATTATTGCCCCATTAGCAATACTTTGCAGGATGGCTTTTCCTCCTCAGTTGGAGTACATAAATTACATAAGATGTACTTTTTAGTCTTAAAACAGTGGGGGAGATAGTGTATGCTGGTGTTTCTCCAGGAGGCAGACCCTGGAAAGCCAGTAGCATACACTTTTTTAGGATAATTCATGTGCTCCAAGTGGTAGGGAAAACTGTCTTGTGAAACAGGATTTGGGGGAAAAACTGTCTTGAGAGGCAAGGACCTAAACATGGTGCAGTGAAAATCACCCATATCATAAGAATAATCGTTTTGGGAAGCAAAACATTGCTCAAAAAAAGTCACTGTGTAGCAAATCATCTTATCTTAAAAACTGTCTTGAGACGCAAGGACCTAAACATGGTCCAGTGAAAATCACCCATATCATAAGAATAATCGTTTTGGGAAGCAAAACATTGCTCAAAAAAAGTCACTGTGTAGCAAATCATCTTATCTTCTTGCCAGGCACCACTGTATTAAGGTGCTCTGCAGACTCTCCATTGTAATACTGATTTGATTACAATGTCACAGCAGTACTAAAGGTCTGTAGTGTGGGAGCAATCAATTTGGCAGGGCGGGGCTTGGATTGTAGAGAATTGGCTTCCTGCAGTGCAGTTTGTTAACCATTAGGTGTCAGCAGTGTCCTAGAAGAGGATGATGATAATACAATTAGAGGAGGCTGTAGGGTTGGGAGGAAAGTGGTGTTGAGTAGAGAATGTTGTGAAGCAGATTGTGGCAGGCAAGTTGCTGGAAGCACAGGAGTCATTAGAAAAATGTGGTAGTGGTGCAGTGGCTTAGAAGATAAGCAAATGCAGGTAACTAAGATTCCTGTTTTTTTGTGACACTTTAAATACAAGATCACCCTACATGGCTTTAACATATAACTAGTACCACATTAAGACAACGCAAAATTTGCTGTCTGCACACAACATATCTCAGGGAGAATGTCGAGGAAACAATTCTTTTGGTGAATCTAAGAAAGCTGTTATGGCATAACCAATATGTGGTTCCGCAGGCATGCAGGAGGATGCTTGAGAGTCAGTCCAGAAGCACTAGTACATCTGGAACATTGGATGAAGTGGGATGCTTCAATCGCATATAATGGAGCCAAACATACTCTCCCCTGCTTCTGCCCACAGACATTTGCAATCATCCTCAGTGGATTCCTGAACCTTTAAAAACCACGAAAGGGAAAAAAAGTGTGACATGGCAAGTCCCTTCTTGTCAGCTCCAGTACTTTGACAGGAATGGAAAGCATAGTTACCTTAATAACAGCTTTGTAGGTTGAATAGCTGTCACACATTGTTAGTAGACCTAAGCCGATGTGTACTGAATGAAGCAGCATTCTGTACAGTTATTGGGGAAATATTCAAATGGGAAAGCTTCTTCTCTGTCGCTGCCCTTAGCACCCCACACCATAGATCTTTTCCAAAAGACAGTTTGGCTTCTGGGCTAAACGAGTTTGATCACCCCTTGCTTCCCAGCAGCTCTAGTAGATGACAAGTAGAGTTATAAGCCTATTCTGCTGAAAGAAGCGGAGGTCTTGTGGCATCATAAAAACTACAAATTTTAGAATGCTTCAAAGCTGTGTGAACTAGACTTGCATCTGATAAAATCAGTGGCAATCTTTAAGATATTATTTATTTATTTAAAATATTTTTTACCCTGCCTTTCTCCTTATAAACGACCCAAGGTGGCTTACCTCGTTGAAAGACAATATTTAAAACCACAACACGGTTTCTTGATTTGCTTGTGCATAGATTGTAGTACCTTCTTTCACGGGAAGGGAGGGCCCTGAAGTTAGCTTGCCAAAAAGCCACCTCATGAGGTCATGGCAGATTTTACATTCGACTTCTTGATTTGGTAGCTCCTTCTTTTTGCCTCACTGTAAACTGCCTGAAAGAGAGAGAGAAAAAGAGAGAGACATTCTGTTCAGTTCCTTGTTCTTGTGTTTACAGAGGGAGGACATTCGTATTTCATTTCCTCCATCTATAAGAAAAACAACAACCCAAAATTAAAAGGAGGGGCTGGCCATGAAAGAACCCTCTGTTTTTCAATGAGGGACAGTGGAAATAAATCAGGAAGAGGAGGAGGCCAGGCTGCTGTAATGGGATCTGCCCTGAAACTCTTGTGGGCGGAGGCCTAGCCAGTGTTTCAGTCTGGGCAAAGAGGAGTGGCTCTGTTCTCTAAGAGCAAAGAGCTCACAGACACTAAGGGAAAGCAATTTTTTAAAAGATAAAAGCCAACACTTGGAAGAGCTGCAGCCACTATTAGCCACACTGATCTATTGGGTGGAGGATGGGAAGCTTTTGTGCTGAGATGGAAACGGCTATCAAAAGGGGAAGGCACTAGAAATTTTAATTAAATAATAAGTAATGTTGTGCATACAAGAAGGGGGCGGTAGAAAACCTTTTTCTCTCCTGCGTAGTACTAGAACTTTGGCTCACCTAGGAGAAGGGGTGGGCACTGACATTTTGCTGCCTGTGGTAAAACAACAAATGGCCCCACAGTACTGAAAATAAGTCAAGTTATTTGTGCACCTGAGGTAAAAAAAATCCCACAGGTACCTCCACCCTGGCAGTAAAAATAGTATGCAATAAATTGAAGAACTAAGAAACTGGCAATGCACCTTTCAGGCTAACACATTTTTGTCAGTGAAAACATTCATTTACTATAATCTACTTCTTTCCGATACTGTTAAGAATTTGACTTTTTAAAAATCTGCTACCTGAGGCTACTAGGTTTAGTGAGCTTTTGAAAGTGATTTGTGGTTCTGAGGGTTGCCCTAGTTATTACCATTAAATAGAATAGGCACCTGGTATCTCATTGTTCCCAGTGTGGTGTAGTGCACTGGTTCTTAACCTTGGGTTACTCAGGAGTTTTGGACTGCAACTCCCAGAAGCCTTCACCACCAACTGTGCTGGCTGGGGTTTCTGGGAGTTGCAGTTCAAAAACATCCGAGTAACAAAGGTTAAGAACCAATGGTGTAAAAACACTCCTTAAATGTCTAATTTACCTTGAAAGCCCTCTTAGGGTTGCTACAGGTCAGTTCAGACTTGATAGCATAGAACACATACATATCATTCAGGGCTGAATTTTTTTTGGGGGGGCGATGGACTTTTGAGACCACAGCATCAGTTGGCATGGGGATTTTGAGGGTTACAGCCAGAAGTTGAAATAATATCAACTGTGGGTCCTGATGGCAATTTTTAGAGTATATATTTTAATTGTTTTATTTTTATTGTATTTTAATTGTTGTAAGCCGCCCGGAGACCTTTGGGTAGAGTGGGCAGCATATAAGTTAAATAAGTAAATAAATAAATAAATAATAGCCCTCAGAATAACTTTTCTAAGGTCTGCTTTGATGCAGTGTATTTTGTGTCCTTTAATATCCCACTCCTTCATCCCAGGAGCTTAAAGGTCCATGCAAGTCCACCACCCTGCAACGTCCATCATTATATCCATGCAACAGACCTGTGAGATAAGCTGTGAGGAAGACTTCTAATCTTCTTCAGGCTGAGTTGATGAGGTTCATGTCCCTCACTCTGAAGATAGTCCTACATGGCAGTTATTGTGCGTGAGGAAGGGCTGAAATCTTTATGTGTGGCTTATGTGCTTTCTAGAAATATCTGGCTCAGCAGCCACCATTGAAAATAGGACGCTTTGAGCAAGCGTAGCCTTAGGTGAGATATAACAAGAAGACTCTCCTTAGGTTCAAGCCCAGCCAAGCATGTAGGAATCTAGGATAAATATCTTCATTCACACACCCCCACAATCTTTTTCTTTCCATGGCAGGAAAAACAATTTTCACCTTCTACATCTCTGCATTTGATACCAGCTGGAAGTTAGAGAAAGAAACAGGGCATTTGAAAGGAAAGAAATAGAAAAATAAAAATAAGAACTACTAGACTCTTGGCAACTCATATGGGTGCTTAATTATCAGAGCCAGCATTATCATTAGATACAGTGAGGCAACCTCCTTGGGGAATGGATTTGGTGGTGTCATGAAAGGGTGGCATGTTATTAGTTCTTCACTTTGTTAATCCTGCTTTTATTCCCACAGGGAAGCAGTGGTTTCTCTCTTTCTCTCTCTCAGAAATGACTGCTGGCATTGAGTATCATATAGGCCACGACTTAGGAGTGGTGGGGGTGGGTGCCTTTACTGTTGAACCTCAGGCAGCAAAGCATTTTGAGCCAGGCCCTGTTCAGGGAATTTGCTGCCACAAGAGGTGAAGATGCTTTGAGGAGCTTAGTCAGGATACTAGTTTATTACAACAACACTGGCAAGGAGCCTGGTGGCCTTTTATTTACGAGTAAATTTTATGTGGTAAAAGTTTTCATGAATATATGTAGCTCCCTTTCAGGTGCAAAGAGTTTAATGTGAAAGGACAGCTTCCTTCAGTTTTTGTTTTCTGTTGTTTTTCTTAAATGAGCAACAAGTGGAGGGTAGGTCTCTCAAACATGATGGATAGCTATGTGGATCCTCCACTTTCAGAGGCAGTGTATCTGAACATTGACCCCTGGATGATAATGCAGTTAGGAAGAGGGAGGGGGGCTTCTGAGTCTCTCTGCTTTGCGAACATGCCCTAAAAGGAGCAGGGGACCGGGCTCGCTGGATCTTCCCCTCGGAGTCACAGGGGGCTCTTCTTATGGGAAAGGGACGGGGGCCTCCCTCCATTGTGTATTTTCCTCTCTCCCGGCAACGGCAATAACAAACCCGCGACTCAGCCCTCCGAGCATCTCATCCCTCGTCATCC